CATAGGATTAGTTTCAATTAGTTCTAGGTTGAAATAGTAATCGGACATTGATTATTTAGTGATTAGAAACTAGATGTTACAACTAATTTCATCAAAAACACAAGAATTTTTCAAATTTTTTAAAATTTTCGAAATAATAAAAAAAATGTTATTTTTCAAATTATTGTGTTTTGATCAAATTATATTGTTGTTATGAAAAACTATACATATATTGTTTCTCAAAACCATATTTTTCAAAAGTTTTTCAAAAACTTTGCCCATTAGGATTGATTTAGAGAATCTTGAAATATTGAGGACTCATTTGAGTTTTGGGATTAATTGAATTGCATACACTTGTTTTAAAATTGCAGGTTATTATATCTATTCCGATTTCCTTCACCATGTCAAATCCTAAACGTCCTAGGTCTTCATCTAGTCGTTCTAGTCGTCAACCAAATCCACCTCCAAATCCTCCTTCTATTCCAATTTCTAATCCCAATCCCACTGATCCTAAATTGACTATCCAAAATTCGTGTTTCAATCATCCTGGGTCTAGAAATCACCGATATTGGTATTATCAATATTTCGATTCTTACAAAATCCGGGAAGAACGTATTCCTTCTCGTCAAGCTATGTTAGCTATCGATTTTAAATATCTTCCCATTTTACAAGAATGGAAATTTGATAAACTATTTGATCTTGAACCCATCGTTTACCATCAACTTGTTCGTATATTCTACTCTAATGCCGTATGTGTTAAAAACCAAGCTGAAACCGAAACCATAGGAATTCGTTCCTACCTCCTAGGACAATTCTTATATATATTGACCCGGCATATATAGCCAATACATTTGGATTAGATAATGATGGTATCTCGAATGAAAAATAAATTTTAGGTTCTCATTATAAAAGAAGAGATAGTGCGAGTGTCTTAGACCTACATGAGCGTTTTCTTCATCTAATGATTTCTTGGTGGTTTCGACCATCCGGAGGTCGTTATTCTACTCTTAGAGCTTTGGATCTTTGGTGGTTACATTGTTTCGAAAACCGTATTAAAATTAACCTACCTCAGATTATTTTTGCTGAAATTGTTGAAACCGTAAATCTTGTTCCTAACAAGAAACACTGTTCATCTCTAGTTTACGGTTGCTTTTTGAGTAATCTGTTTTCCAAAGCTGGGCTTAGAGTCGGTCTAGATGCCGTTTTTCCTCTTAAGAAACAAATAAATCTTCTTTCCTTAACGAGAGCGGGATGGGTAAAGGACAAAGAAACCGGTGAATGGGTTCGATCTTCTACTCCGGGAGCTAGTTCTTCACAAGCTCCACCCGAAGCTGACGAAGATCCCGAGCTCGAGCAATTAATGCAAGATATCGATGAAGCCGAAGATGAGCCTGATCAGCCCGAAGAGCAGCCCGAGGAGCAAGCACAACAAACGCATCAAATGCCTCCATATTTTCAATCCTTTATGGAGACATTCGATTTCCGATACGCTACCATGGACTCGCGCTTTTCCTCTATAGAGTCCCATTTATCCACAATGGGAGCTCAACAATTAGAGATTCTTCGGGAGATGCGTGCAAACAATGAATCAACCAACGCTCGTATCAATGAACTCACACACGAGATGGCCGCTATGCGAGCCCGTTTTCCTCCTACCGATCCGGATGCTTGATTTTATGTTTAGCGTTAAGACTTTGAACAAAATGAATATTGTTTCAACATTTTGATTTGTTTGATTTTGTGGATTGTTGGATTTTGGATATATGAATGGTGTGAACTTATATGTTTGGTGTGTTTTATTCATTTTTGCATCATTTACATTATCATTAGAAATATGACCAATTTTGCCATATCACATTATTTATGAATATTGATTTATGAAACTAATGGCTAACCTCTCTTTTGATTGTGATCTTAGCAGCTTAAGCTTATAATTAATAAATCAATTGGCTAAATGATTTTCAAAACCTTGTTTTACAATGTCTTTTTGATTTAACAAAAAGGGGGAGAAGAATAAGTGTTAAATGTTTTACATGATAAATTGAAGAAGTGTTAAAGTAAGGGGGAGTAATTTCAAAACTTGATTTCAAAAATCTTAAAATTACTAAAATGTTTTGTTATATCAAAAAGGGGGAGATTGTTGAAACATTTTAATATTTCGATATAACAAATTAAGTTAAATGGATTTTAAGATTTTCCAAATGATTTTCTAAGTATATTCGACATAACTATTCGAATATCAAAACATTACTCCAAATATTTCAAAAATCATTTTTGATCCTTACTTAAGTGTAAAATTAAGTTTTAATCATAAAACAATTTCAAAATAATTTTACAAAGTATTTCGAACCAATTCAAAGCCAAAAATTCCAGATTGCTCAGAGGGAACCGATTCCCCCCCATAGGAGGAACCGATTCCCCCTGAATGGTTTGGCTCCGAGATTTCCAGAATGCTCGGAGGGAACCGATTCCCCCCAAGGGGGTACCGATTCCCCCTGTTCAACGGTCGAAATATTTGAATTTTACACTTAGGGAACCGATTCCCTATGAGAGGGAACCGATTCCCCCCACGCTCCAAGCTGTTTTATTAAATGTTTTCACACTAAAACGGCTATAATATCTTCTCTAATTATCCCCAACGTTCAGAAGTGATCCAAGGTGTATTTAAGCAAGCTTAGAAGCCATTGATCAATAACAAGAAACATCAAGCAACTAGAATCAAGAGAATCAAAGAGAAAGCATCAAACCTCAAGTTTGAGCATTTCAAGCCCATTTTCATTCAATATTCATTTTGCTTTCAAGAACACTTTTTGTGCTCAATTGTATTCATCTTTGAGTGTTCTTTTCTTTGTTCTAGAATTGTGCAAACATCTTACCTTGTGAGGTTTTCTTGTAAGTTTGCAAATTTGTAATCTTCTCTTTGAGAAAAGAGTGTTCTCAAGAGTTGGGGTATACTCTTGAGGGAATTGTAAGGTTATCTCTTTGGCCTCAAAAGAAAGAACAAATTAGTGAATTTGTTGGAAAATCCTTAGTGTGGATAGCTAAGGTAGTGGACGTAGACTTTGTTTGAGAAAGTCGAACCACTGTAAATCGCTGTGCAATTGCTTTCAATTTTCTGCAAAAGCTTCCACAAAATTTTTATTGCCAATTCACCCCCCTCTTGGCCAATTTCGTCATTCGATTAACTCAACACAGACAATATTAAATATTTTCTTCTACTCGTGGTTTTTCACTTAAAGAGTTTTTCACATAAAATCATGGCGTCTCTTTTATTCCATGATCATTATGTATGTAATTATCTTCTAACAATGTTAGATATTGACTCAAATTCTAATTAGAAATTAAGTTCAATTTTATTGTAATTATATTGGTTGAAGATTACTTTGTAATTAAGTTTACTTAATTAAAAATTCTTTGTGATCATTTATTTTGCTCTATAATTTTTGGGGTTTATGTTGCAGATATGATTTTGTAGGGAATTTGTAAGACTGTTTTGTAATACATTGGTTTTTGGTATATATATATATATATATATATCAAATTTTGAGATACATGAGATATCATATATTTGTATTAGTTGTGGTCTCTATGTTTATAGTGGATTATTGTTATTCTCATCTATGAAGGTAGACAAGACTAAACTGGGTTAAATCTTGTCTCTAGTGCATGTCTTATTGATATCAATTTGATTATTTTTCCGCTTATGAATTCTTAACAAGTGGTATCATAGACATGGTTCGAGTTAAGAAGTTTTAGAGGAACTTGTTGTTGTGGGTTTTATTAGTGATTTTAAAGACATGCAAGAGAAACTTCAATGGAATGAGTTTTCGGTTGCAGTTGAGTGGTTCTCAATCAATCTAACGGTGCTTCAATAGATAATATATACGAAATGAAGTTGTTAAAGACTTGAAGGTGGTGCCTCAAATGATATTTGACTTATGTAAGAATTGAAATTGTTGAAGATTTGAAGATCAATTTTCTAATTGAATTTGTGTCAATTGAGAAATTGTAATATATTGTCTCAAATTATAATTAAAAATTAAGTTATACTTTACTGTAATTCTATCAGTAGAAGATTACTTTGTGATTCAACTTATTTAATTAAGGATTCTTATGGAATAAAAATTATTGTTGACCAAGTATTTTGCTTTATAAATAGATTGTATGTCTTAGCTTTTAGAATCATGAGAGAGAATTATTTTAGAGAGATGTAATCATTTTTTCGGTCTTTGTAATTTTTGGGGTTTATGTTGCAAAGATGATTTCGTAGGGACGTTGGGAGAGTGTTTTAGGATACACCAAGTTTTAGTATATATATTGTGTTTTGGGATACATGTGATATGATGTATTTGTACTATTTGTGATCTCTATGCTTTTAGTGTATTAATGTTCTTTTCATTTGTAGAGATAGACAAGGTTAAACTACATCAAATCTTATCGTGTGTATTATTTTTAGTAAATATTAATTTGGTTATTTCACAAATAAATTCTTAACAAAATATTAAAATATTAATTGTTGGAAATGCATAGAAATATTTGAGTAGTATATATAAATCCTTTCCCATATACGTTCTATAAATTACACATTTCCTGAATATGTTATAGCCCATAGGTTAGTAATAGAATTATTGTTTTTTGTTTTTTTAAATTTACCTTTATTATAAAAAAACAACATTCGGTTCAATCGTAGTAGAAAATATAATTTAGCAATGATCAAAAAAGGGGAGAAAACAAAAGAAAATAGAATTGAAAGCAGGTTATGGCAAAGGAAACCAACCTTTTCACGTGGTTTTATCTCTTCCACCCACAATTAGGGGAGTTGGGGCTATCTGGTTATTGGTAAATATAGCATGGCTCATGTGCATGTTCAACAACAAAATTAACAATTTAACACCTTTCCGATGACTTTTGTTCTGTTCCCTATTCTCCAACTCGTCATTGATATATTCTCCTTTGGATTGACTCGATCATGATCATGTCCACGTCTATTAAACTTTAATAAATATTAGCCATCAGCTAATATGGCGTTTTCCCAGCTGGAGATTGTTTCCTCTTCGCCTTTCGGTTGTGTCCTAAGGGATCACAACCGTAAAGAACGATGCAGAGACAACAATGTGAAGAGTGTGTTCGACAAGAATTTCAATGACTTGGTTCGAGATCACATCAATGGCTGCATATCTTTGTCTTCCCCTCAAGGTCCTCAAAATCGCCACGTCCACAAAGCGAAAAACAACAACCCTCCTGCTTCGACGATCCCCTCGAGGCCGCCTTCGGTTCTCGATAGGTGGGTGACTTGGAAGTCCCAAGATGTGGCGCTATCCAACACCAACAGACATGTAAATGAAGCTGCGGAAACATTCTTGGATCCTTCACAATCATACTCGAACACTGCTTTACCAAATACACCAATGCCGTCGCCTTCGTGTAGCAGGACTTTAGGCGCTAGGGAAACCGAAAGAGTGAGAATTGTGGATATCATCAAGAAATTGAAAAATGGTGAACATGAGCATAGTAATAAAGAGCATAAGCATTGTTCAACTTCGGATCAAGCCGAACGGAGGTGTTTCTCGATGGTCAGAAACACGCCCCTACTAAGAGGGCGACAAGCAGTCCATGATTTGCTCAAACAGATAGAGCGAGATAAGAAAAGGGAGTTGGATTCACTGGTGCAACACCATGCAGTTTCTAAATTTTCACAACGTGGCCGTCTTCAGGTGTATTTTCTTTTTGGCATAATGACAAAATTAGTCCCCAATTTCTAAATGATCACTTTGGTCCCTATTTTTTAGTATTTTAATCTAACATTTTTTTGTCAAAATAGCCCCTATTAGATGTAAATCATTAGCTGACTAACGGTTAACACATATTACTAATGTAGAATTTCCACATGTGCTTAATGGTCATCACTTTGTGTGTCATATTACATGCCCTGTGATCACTTTAGTGACGTGGTATGTGTCATATTAGCAATTAAGTACATGTGAAAATATCACATCTGCAACATGAGTTGACCATTAGTTAACTAACGATTTCGATCCAATAGAGGTTATTTTGACAAAAAATTGAAACATTGAGGCTAAAATGCTCCAAAAATAGGGGTCAAAATATCTATTTTAGCAAACATTGGGGGCTAATTTTATTATTATGGCTCTTCTTTTTCTTAAATATTCATTCATTTGCTCGTCCATTCACTCCAACTGATCATGCGATTGTTACTATTGGCTTTACGCTTACATTCTGACAGTTAATGCTCCGACTTAGAAGTCTACAACGCTGCCGTACAATTCAAGATTCATGTCGTCCACAATTACCGGCGGGTCAGCTGAACCGACCCCCACAAGAGTCCATGCATCTCAGGTATCACTTTGTCCAAATGCATTTCCTAGTATTTATTCAATTAGATTTTCCTTATTGTCTCCTTCTTATCAACTTATTATTAATACGTCTGATATCTTAACCATAAGGGAGAAGTTTAGAGCTGGTGCTGAGAGTCTCATGGCACAGAAGAATGTTTTAGCTGCTTGGAGATGCTTTCAAAAGGACAAAAACTCCACTGGAAATCCCCAGGAAAGGGAAGATACTCATTTTCGAAAGGGGGACCGGAGTTCATGGCCGGTTAATCGTTTTTTAACGAATAAAAATGAAGATATTCATGAACAGGCCAAGCCATTTTCAGATTCCATACAACAGAAAACAAGCATTGAGGCAAGATGCTGTGATTCACCAAAAATTGCAAAGCCAAGGACACCCTTGAAGGGTAAATCGAAGAATGAGGTGTCTATAAAGCAAGGATCCAACAGCCAACAACATCCCTTCCTTGGCTCACGAGAAACTGTAACAAGAAATGAAGGTAGTCATGAACAGGCCAAGCCATTTTCAGATTCCATACAACTGAAAACAAGGCTTGAAGCAAGATGCTGTGAATCACCAAAAATTGCAAAGCCAAGGACACCCTTGAAGGGTAAATCAAAGAATGAGGTGTACGTAAAGCAAGGGTCCAACAGCCAGCAACATCTTTTCCTTGGCTCACAAGAAACTGTAACTCGAAATGAAGATATTCATGAACAGGGCAAGCCATTTTCAGATTCCATACAACTGAAAACATGGCTTGAAGCAAGATGCTGTGAATCACCAAAAATTGCAAAGCCAAGGACACCCTTGAAGGGTAAATTGAAGAATGAGATGTCCATAAAGCAAGGGTTCAACAGTCAACAACATCTCTTCCTTGGCTCACAAGAAACTGTAACTCGAAATGAAGATATTCATGAACAGGCCAAGTCATTTTCAGATTCCATACAACATAAAACAAGGCTTGAAGCAAGATGCTCTGAATCACCAAAAATTGCAAAGCCAAGGACACCCTTGAAGCGTCAATTGGAGAATGAGGTGACCATAAGGCAAGGGTCCAACAGCCAAGAACATCTCTTCCTTGGCTCACAAGAAACTGCAGAAACTGCAACTCAAAATGAGGTTGCAAAATTAGACCAAGAAAAGGACCAGCACCATTTTTGTCTTGAATTGCAAGGAACCATGGAATCATCAACATCCTTGAATTTTAGCGTAGAGAACGAGATAGGTGAAGAAGAGGGCAATTATCATCATCAACATCTCAAGCTACAGTCTCAGTCTCAGGATACTGTAGAGAATGAGAACAGTGAAGAAGAGTCGAATGGTCATCATCAGCATCTCGGGCCAGAGTCTCAGTCTCAGGATACCGTAGAGAATGAGATTGGTGAAGAAGAGGGGGATGGTCATCATCAGCATCTCGGGCTAGATTTTCAGTCTCAGGATACTGTAGAGAATGAGATTGGTGAAGAAGAGGGCAATGATAATAGGCAGCATCCCGAGTTAGACTCTCAATCTCAGGATGCTTTAGAGAAGTCAACAACATACTACATTAATGACAGCAACGAGAATGAGGTACCAGAAGAGGAGGATGATCAGTACCAACAATATTTTGAAGAAAGTAATGAGTATGACTGGTTTAGTAATATATCTCGGCCTAAAAGGTATTGGGAAAGCATAAGGAAAGCATGGTACAACGAAGTGCTTAACACAGCCCCAAAAAATGAAGATATACGTGAGCTAGTGCAAAGGTAATATGATTTTACCCTTTACCAGGTTTAGTAATACACAATATCCAATTTCCTTGCTCATGAATTGCAGGGGAAGAGTGTCAACTTTACTCGTAAGTGATTTCCGAGAGAGCATGGACCAGTTATTGACTTGCCGTGTACAAATACAAGTAGATTTAGCTGAAAGTCATCAAGATGTTGAGGATATGGAGGGAACAATATCCCGGGAAAGAGTTTCAAATTTAATTTGCAGTGATTTTGTAGAGAGAATGAAACGATTAATAACTTCTCGTGCACAAAGTCAAGCAGATGGAGCTGAAAGTCAGCGAGAGGTTGAGGGTAAGATAGAAACCATCGAACCGATGTGTTCCCTGCAGACAAATTTGCATCGAGAAGGCGATCAGGGTGAAGAACAAGAAGAAGAAGATGATAACGACAACGACGAAGAAGAAAGGAGCTTAAGCAGCCATGAATGTCAGCAAGAAGTTGAGGGTAAGGAAGAAACCATCCAACCAATGTGTTGCCTGCAGACAAATTTGCATTCAGAAGGTGATCAGGGTGAAGAAGAAGAAGAAGAAGAAGAAGAAGAAGAAAGGAGCTTAAGCAGCCATGAATGTCAGCAAGAGGTTGAGGGTAAGGAAGAAACCCTCCAACCAATGTGTTGCCAGCAGACAAATTTGCATCCAGAAGGTGATCAGGGTGCAGAAGAACAAGAAGATGACGGCGACGACGAATACGAAGGCGAAGAAGAAAGGAGCTTAAGCAGCCATGAATATCATGAAGCCAATAACTACTGTGATCATTCCTCATCGTCTTTTCAAATGCCTTCACCGGATGTTATGGTGACTAGGTCATGGAGTTCTCAAGATGATAACGAAACTGGGAATGATTACCAGCGCGGTGCGTCTGAATTTTCACCTCCACCTCAACAGTCTCAAGCTCCATGTTTTCAGGATGCTATACAGTCTTCTTCCACGAACCGTCCCTCACTCGTGAGTTGTTTTGGATATTTAATTTATGTTGGTTCCGTGCATATTATTTTCAAAAGAATTATCTGTCATTCATTGATATGTTTTGCATTAATCGATGCATAATACAGGAAATGGAACTCATATATGATTTAAAAGGGGGTATCGAGCAACTTCACCTTGAGATGAGTGAGCTAAGAAAATCATTTCAGAGCTGCATGGGCATGCAGATGAAAATGCACCAATACGCCTTCAATCAGAAGGTTCATTTGGGTGAGACTTGATTACTTAATAATTAAGAATTTGTAAACAAAAAATAAATAAATATGAGATTAATATAGAATTAAGACACTATATTTAACGTGGTTTGATTTTATCTACCTCAGATGAAAAAACAATAACTCATAATAAATGTAAAGATAACAAAAAATAAAAGTACATAATATCTAATGTATCCCGAGAACTAGTGTGTATATCAAAACTCAATCTATCCCAGAAAACTTCTCCATATCCTATAAAACCATCTCTGTAATGTAAACTAAAAGTTATTGAGACAACAAAAGGATTAAATCTCTCTAAAATCTTTCTCTCTAATAATTTCATTTACAAAGACGCCAATAATCCCAATTATATACGAATTTTTATGTAGATAAAATTGATTTAAGTGATCTTTAACCAATGAAATGATAATAAAATCTAAATTAATTTTTAATTACAATTTGAATCAATATCTAACATGGTAATTATTAGTTATTTATTTTATATTTCGTGTTTATATTCTTACATACAACATTAACTTAGTTGTCTTGATTAAATTATTATAACGATACAGTTGAAGAGGAAGTAAAAAAATCAGCAGATAAATTATCATGGAAACGTACATGTTGCATTTGCTACGAAAAGCAGGTGGACTCATTATTGTACAGGTAAATATGTTAAAATTTATATACGAAGTCCAAAGCAAACTTAGAATGCAGTGTTCCTAAATTCCTTATACTTGAGAATGCAAAAAGAACAATACCAAATATATTAAGCATTAAAGAAGGTTTTGTGTTTAATTTCAGATGTGGGCACATGTGTACCTGTCTAAAATGTGGGAATGAATTGCAATGGAAAAGTGGACAGTGCCCAATATGCCAAGCTTCAATACTGGATGTTGTGCCAGTCAAGTATTGACGCACCTCATCGAGTTATTGTTAGGGATGTATCGAGGGGAGGCTGACAGGAACGATCGTCCGCTGAGAACTTCAAACTCATATTATTTACATTTTTTTATATTTTCTATTCTATAATTTATTTTCGTCTCCTAAAATTTTATAAGTTCATTTCTCTATCATAAAATCTTGCGTTCATTCCTAATTGTTGTCTCAACGGTTGTGGTCTGCATTAATTCTAAGTTAACACTACTTCAAATAATGCAGCACATTCATAAATTTCCTTTTCTTAATTCTCTTTCTCTTTGTTTTGAATGAATTTTAGAATTTTAATTATTCCATGCTTTTGTCTTTTATATATGGTTCATTTTATATGATCGACTAGATATATATTTTGTGCATGATACACAATATGCCATGCACTGCCCGCTGTTAATCAGGTTGTTGTTCTTTTTTCTTAATACTAGTGGTACTCCTTAATCAACTTGTTGAATTAATTACTTACACTACAAGTATTATATAACTCTCATAATGTGAAACATGGATTTCAATAAAAAATAATTGACATTGATATTCTATGTAGTCTTACCATCTCGTATATGTACAACTTAGCAAGATTTTAGAGAAAATAATTTGTGTGAACTGAAAGAAAAAGAGTTGAAATATTCGTCAACCTATCTATAATAATTCAGATTGAATCCTTCTTTAAGTGTGTTAAAGACCTCTATAATTATTCAAGACGTACTTTGAACTACGAACAATTGGAACTTTGACTCGGCAACATGCTCTTCGATCTCCTTTTAAGAACTTGCAAATGAAAGCACATTTTGAACGTTGTGCTAATAAACTCATTATCACACTAAAGGCACACTAAAAACACTAAAATGTTCTTTAGCGGCGTTTTTTAAGTCTTATAGCGCCGCTAAAAGCACACGCGGCGATAGCAAAAACGCCGCAAGAAGCGCCGGCCATACCAGCGTCGCTAAAGTTAGCGGCGTTTGTGAAAAAAAACGTCGCTATAGGTCAAAATCTATAGCGGCGTTTTTCGAAACAAACGCCGTAATAAGTCGAGCTCTATAGCGGTGTTTTTGGAGAAAACGCCGCAAAAGGTCAGATCTATAGAGGCGTTTTTGGAACAAACGCCGCAATAGGTTGAGATCTATAGCGGCGTTTTTATAGAAAATGCCGCAAAATGTCGGATCTATAGCGACGTTTTTGGAACAAACATTGTAGAAGGTCGAGATATATAGCGGCGTTTTTGGAACAAACGCCGCAAAAGATTAGATCTATAGCGGCATTTTTGGAACAAACACTGCAGAAGGTCGAGATATATAACGGCGTTTTTGGAATAAACGCCGTAAAATTTCAGATCTATAGCGGCGTTTTTGGATGCAAACGCCACTAATTATCGTTCTTGTTCTAATATTAATTTATATTTTGCATAATTCATTTCTTCTCTACATCACCTAAATTTATTATCATGTAGCTTTATCTAATTGACATCAACCACAAATTTAAACAAAATAAATTAAAATTTATAAACATTAAAATTAAAAGTAATGTAGTTTGACATTGTTCTCTAGAATTTAGTCTAGCTACTTTCACTTTCAATTAAAAAAATATTATTCACTAGAATTTCACCAAATAAATCCCCTAGCTCCGGTTCACCAAGAAGACTCCTTGCGCGCTTCAATGCTTCACTTGAAACAGATAACGAAGTAGCAAATTGTTTCTTACATGCATCGTATGAGTCTTCCCACTGATTGTCACGCCATAAGCAAATATGGTGTATGTGAACAAAATTTAACACTGTAAGGTAAAAGAACAAGTTTTGAGAAAATACAAATTAAACGCCATAACTTTCGATATCAACCCACAATTTCTGATGCAAAACTGTGAGTACTATTTAGAGAAGGCCAAAGCATAGGATACCTAAGCAATTAAATCGTTCCAGAAATCTAAACTAAGTTTTCCTAGATTAAAATGGCCTTCCTACAAAGTGATTATGATGTGGAATCCTGAATGGGGAAGCCATTAAATAAACATCATGCTACAAGCATAAAATAAAAACCTCACTTCTGAAAGAAAGAAACCTGTATAATAGCCGTAGGCCAACGTGTTAAAACTACTTCAATGAACTCATCAATAATTGATAGATACTTTTCCCCTTCTAACCTAGGTTGTCTTAGTCCTAAATCTGTACAAACCCAAAAAAAAAAGTCAAAAGAAATCTTAACAATCTGTTAAAAAAAAAGTAACGGAAAGCATTTCATATGTTCCAGTCTATGCAGGGAATAACTACATAAGAACAAAGTAATTAAATACATTTTTTACTCACAAAGTGGGTTGTCAATTAGCTTTAGATTGTTAGTACTAACATCTAGCATAACAGGGTGTATCTGTCAAAGACATATAGATTGAATTATTAAAGTTATAACACAAGAAAAGAGAGTTGCCATGTCAAAAAAAAGTTGAAAACGTAAAATACAATAATAACAGGGAACAAATATTTACAGGTAGATATAAACCAAATAGTTACAAATAAGCACATATGCATATAACCGAGAGCTTCAACTGATGGTTAACCATATCAAAAACAACCAATATCCCAACACAAGTATGAAAATGGTCGCAAATGGTTAAACTTCCCAAGCATACACGTCACAAATTCTTACCTTTAACTCGTCTCTACGTACAAAATGCTGCTGATCACCCCTTATCCTGCATAACAATAAATAGATTCCATCGATCATCACTTCAGCACCTTAGACCCTATTGTTTGAAGCTCAGATGAAAATGATGCATTTCGTTTCAAGCATGAAGATTAAAGGAATATGAATAAGAATATTTCGACGACCAGGAAAGGCAAGGATCGTACTTGTCAAGAATAAGACGTTCATAAGCTTCTGAGAGCGTAACACCTTGATAGCGTTGCCTGTATGAAAAATCCAGTTCACTTTGCACCGTTGAGAACTCCAGACCAGGCTGCTTCACCTACAACATAAGCAAAATGCAAATCAGTATACATGCATAAAGATCTTGCAATAAATTATAGCAACGGTTTCCTAGCTTAAACTAAAAACGCAGGATCTTGACACTCATGGTTGGCTGCATGAGCAGTTTTCGTAGAACACCACTTCGAATATCAGTAAAATCTAGAACATCGATATGGATGTTTCTAAAATATGATAAAATGAAGAAGGGGCATCAAGTATTCAGGATTGGTTCTCAACAGTTCCTAAAGGTTTCCACAAGGAGAATCGGAACATCTGCACGATCGACAACTGAAGATTTACAATTATGTGAAAAGGTAACTGTTGGTTCTGAAATATATTATGTTCAAATTTAGGACAAAAATAGCAGAACTTATTGATTTCTCTTGATGCATAAAGGAAACTCTACAAGTAGGAAACTCTGCATACATGGAAATTATAGCTCTAATACTTTCAGATGGATACGATGAGTTAAGCGAACTCACTGTTAGTTTCATGTACATCGCTTCATAAGGTTGCTAGCGTATGATAAACTCATTTCTCCCTTTCTTTTGACCTAGATAAAATGTTAGAATATTTCAAAAGAGTTGCAGCTCTACTGAAACAAGCAATCATAAAAATGAAGTTCCAAATAATCTTATAGATCTACTGTCATACATTGGAATATATCCCCAAGAACCTCCTTAAATTGAATGTGTATCTCCGCCTTTCTTGAATTCAAAGCTTTCCCTGCCTTTAGTATAAAGGGAACACCTGACACAAATCAATCAGCGGAATTAGAAAATCCAGTGAGAAGCTCAAATTAAATTTATGCTTCGCTTGATCCAATGGAAAAGCACACAAACCAGTGACCAACAGATTTTCAGACATGGAAAGATAAAGTAACATCAAATTACTAATGAGTTGTTAAGGTTTTCCAGGACTGAGGCACCAAAAAGAGATTTTTATGAGAGAAAATAACAAATGGAAAGATACAACTATACTACCTTCCCATCTTTCATTATGTAAACGTAGAATAACAGTTGAAAATGTAGAATAACGATATCATATTGTTTCATCTTGGAGACTGCTCTGAGAAGATGGTTGAAAGCCATAATTGAGGGCAAGTTTCTCATTAAAATCATGAAATTGAAAAAACCCAGAGCTTCATCAAGCTCAAAGGATCTCGATTTACACTTATCTATGACCAATGTCTCCAGATGGGTGGGTTTAGACATACCCATATTCACATTTTCAACAATTTCTCTACAAGCTTCAAAACCTGACTTTCTAACACGAAAACCCCAATCTTGTAACAGAATCTGACATGATAATTTTACAAACCACTTAAAGCTTATCTCAGTACTGATCTATTTGTTACTAAACATACTATAAGCTATAGTCATCTCTAATATATAGTAAAACTTAATAAGAATTAAGGATGAATTATAGATAAACTGTAAGCATTTTTATTTCCAACGCAGGCTAAAATCACTAAAAAATAAACAAATCAAGCAAACAATTTTAACCACTTCCATAACCTGAAATGGGCATATAAAAAACCCTAAAATATAGTAAAATTTACTAACCAGGCCTTTCAGGATTCAAATTGGTTTGACGAAGAGCCATTTTGCCAAAAGAAAAAATAACACTCAAGCAAGAGTGAAACCAATCAACAAGAGAAGAAGTAGCGCGAGCGAAACCAGCAATCAATTTATCACAATCAGTTTCCAAAAGAAAAAGAGAGGTAAAAACCCTAATTTGAAAGAGAAGAAAAATTCGTATAACTAATTAGATAGAAAAAATAGTTTTAGAATTTACAGATGGAGAGCCTTGAGGAACTTGTTGTTCGGGTTCAGTCCAGTTACCTCTGGACTTATATCTAGTTTTACTTTTGGTATAAATGTATTAGGAGCAACCCAGAGCAGTGGCACGGGAGGCAGAGCGCTAAGAGAGATGTAGTGGGGGTGAAGCAGGAAATTTGAATTAAGTGGTGGTGAAGTAGAGAGGGAAGAGAGAAGATAAAACATTTTTATTTTTCATAAAGGGA